TTTTGGATCCTGAGTTTGTCTTCTGGGGTGTTGGCTACTCCTGCCAGTTTGATGTCATCTGCAAATTTGACAAGTTCCCCTTCAATTCCCTCATCTAAGTCATTGATGAAGATATTGAAGAGTACTGGCTCTCATGTGCATGTTATATTCAAGGGGCACTTTATTTTGACAGGTATGAACAAAATGCTATGTCTAGCATCTTATCTACTTCGATATTGCCTTCCTTTTCCCCTTCTGGACTCCAAAGCCCTCAAGTTAAAGACCTTTCGTGTTCTGTATAGGACAGTTCAGTTCCCTGTTTATTTCCTGAGTCATACAGAAGTCTTCACTTGTTTTTGCTTGGAGCAGCCAAGTCAAAGGGAATTTTGCTTCACGTACACAAAGTAACCTTGCTGCACATAGACAGATGGGGGAAAAGAATCCACACTTGGTTTAATGGAAGTAAAACAAATATTTAGTCATATCCATGATTAGGAAACACAAAGTAACAGAATAACAGATTTGGAAGAGATCTTGGAGATCATCTAATCCAACCCGCAACTCAAGCAGGAGACCCTATACTATTTCAAACAAATGGTTGTCCAATCTTTTCTTAAAAACCTCCAGTGATAGTGATGGAGTACCCACAACCTCTTAAGGCAAGGCATTTCACTGATTAATTGTTCTAACTGACAGAAATTTCTCCTTATTGCTAACTTGGTAAGTATAAAAACTGTTATCCACTTCCTGTAAAAATAAAGAGAAATAAATACTAAGGTATAACATTGGTATTCATATAAGATATGTCTCTTTTTAAAAAAAAAAACAGACTAGTAAGGAAAAGAACATATTTCTGTATAGTTGTCTGGTTTGATTTGCATGTACACAGTTCTTAGCATTTTACTATTAAACACACTGTATATGTGCATCACTTTAAAAAGGTTTATAGCAGATTTCACACATTGTGGTAAGGGCTGGGGTTTTAAAATTTTGGCTTTTTGAAAAAGCCACGGAGGTCTAGCTTGCACACAACAATAATCTGTAAGCCACAATTGTACCCACACAATGGGTTTATATTGCACTAGCTAAAATCAGACAAATGATATGATGCCTTAGCATAATGTTAAACTTGGCAAGTGTTTACCTACCACAGCCTTACATGATGTTTTCCCCTTAGTCTTTAGAAAAGTAGAAAAAAAAACTGCTCCTGAAGAAGGAGGAAATCTTCCAATAATAACTATATTGTTAAAATGTCACCACCTCTCCGGTGCAGCCTAAGAACTGTAGAATGAATTTGGCTCATTTATTTCTAATTTCCACCATTCCAACTTCTCCCTCCCCTGTAGCTTTTCTAAATGACTCAGAGGTTTCTCCCACGCTGCTAACAACCATCCTGAGGAATGCAGGAAATACAACATATTGTGTAAATGCATTATAGTGCAAATAGATTAGCAATCTGACATACAAACAGGGGTTGGCTTTATCAGATGAGAAATTATGACAGAAACATCCTGTCCCTTCAGTTCTTTAAATATTAATTAGCAGGCAGGAACATTCTTCAACATTTATACAAACCATTGAGTGTTCATAATAACAAATACAAGGACTCAAAACTTATTCGGAAACCTCATGATGTCAGTGAAAAAATAAATTTATTACCACAAAAATAGGAATCCACTTATTCCAGTGTGGTAACATAAACATTGCATAATTCTGAAACAAGAACTGCCATATAAAGAAATTGCTTTTATTATATTTTAGACTTCCTTTCCACTCAGCATTCCATCCCACAGTTCGTGAATAGGTAGCATGAAATACTCTGTCATCATATGAACAAGCACTTTCAATGTTTATTTAAGGAAATGTCACATATCGCTTTAACTTGGCATGCCTTATTATTTGTACTGTCTACAAATTAGACTAAATTTAATATTATTTATTAAAGGCTTGGAGAAGCATCTAGCCAATCTCAGCTGGTCCTTTAAAATTAACCAATCTAAATCCTGTTTAAGATCAAATAATTAAAACTATTACTTTAATTTTTGTTCTAAGTTCCATTGAGTTCTTTGTCCTGATTCTGCCTATTTTTTTTTAGAATGTCATTCCAGTGTATTATTAAAAAGCCACCTCCACTCTCTGTCTTGAAAAACTGTATGGCTCTGGTATATATAGTAAGCATGCCTGGAGTTTTGTATGTGTGTTATGCTAAAGAACTGAGAGCAGATAAAAATGTAATAAAATGCAGTAAAAATGACCTGGAAGCATGCGATAATCAGGAAACTAAGGTGAATTTGGAAATATACAGGGAATTATAAAGCTTGACTTCAGTAAAGCATTTTACAAAGACATAAATAAGATTTTTAAAAATCTCAGTAGAAATAAGTAGAAATGAGCCAAGAGCCCAATAGAAATAAGCAAAAAAAAAAAAAATACCAGAAAGAAATTTATATAATAGAGACTATGTAGGCATAACATTATATGGAGATGACCTTACAGAAACTATTCAGAAACATTGCAAAACCAAAATGTACAGACCATGCACTTAGTGTAAGGAAGCGCGAAAGTATTAAAAAGAGACTCGGACTATTTCCTTGCATATAAGAGAATTGGGTCTAAGAGAACTCAGAATTTTACCGTGAGAAAGAAAGATTTAATCTTCAAGCTTGGAATTAGAGCTACTGAATCCAGGTTGCAGAATTCCATATGACCATTAGAAGGCAGCAAAGAGACCTTTTACAAGATACTGTAATAGTTCTACCGAATAGATGACACACAGAATAATATCAATGTATGTTCTCTATAGTTTCAAAATGAAGGGACAGAACAAGAATCTCAGGTATAAGAAGGGAGGCCCCTAATAGTATGAACTGTCTGAAGGGGAACAACTTACCTCCCTGGATCTCCCTAATTAATGAGCTTCATTTCAAAGCCTGTTATTAAGAATGTCTTCAAGCAGAGGTGGAATAGCCATCTAGCAGGAGGTGTTTTCATTTGGATTATTCCTCTGAACAATTCATTGGCCAAAATTGTTCTTTCCAATTATAGAGTTGTATGAATGCTTTGTATACATAACTGATGTAAGGAGGATGATATCGCCAATTCTAGGAAAGGAAGAAGCAGTGATGCAACATTCAGTTTTTTGGGGGTTTTTTTTGCAGTTGGGAGTGTTTTTTTTAATCTTCTAGCTCTAGACAGGATATAATCACAGTGTAATGAGACGTCTACGTATGAGTTCATACCTTAGAGATTTTAAAATGTAAGAAGGGAACATTTCCTTTTTATTAACTCATTTATTGTATTTATTTCCTGCCTTACTCTGAGATCAAAATGGCATAATAGATCCTTCCTTCCTTGTCTTCTCAAGAACTGTAAAATAACCAAGGCTATCCAGACTTGGTCAGAAGTCAAATTATATAAATTAGTATATTGTAGATATCAAAGAAAACATAAGTTAATGACTTACTTCTGGGGAGTACTTGAGTAAAGTTAGACATGTTGGTGGCTGATTGCAGGAACACATATACATGACAGAGCAGTCAATGAGTTATGAAAAGGCAAGTCTCTACTTATATTGTTCATGACATTTAACAATGTTTTCTTAGTAACTCGTATTACTAGGGAGAAGGTGGGGAAAAATTAACATTACTGGAAAACTAACTTTCTTGTGTCTCCAATGATCAACAAATAAAATATAGAGTTGCTCTTGCATCTGCTGTAGTTAAGAAGAAACTACCCTTGTGTTCCAAATACTGTAAAGAGCAGTGCACCTGAAACTGTACTGAAATATAAAGTCTCTATTTTTTGTTCCAACTTCTCAGTCTAGGCTGTAGCCTTTGGATTCTTCTAGTGGTCTTAAATACTAAAAAAAAAAAAAAATCTAGCCTGGCTTAGTTTTTGAGTCAGATAACATCAGCTAGGTTGTCACCAGCTGAGAGAAAAAAGAACATTTGTTATATAGTATATGCCAAACATCCAAAAATTTTCTTCTTTTTGGTGGTGGTGGTGGGGGAAATGGGAAATAACATTTTTTAGCTCAATTGTCAGTGGGACACATCCACACAATTGTTTTGACCACAGCTCAGAAATGATTTGATACTACCTTTTTTCAAGGTGTTTTTGACTTCCCACTCTAGGAAGGATTTCATGGTGGTCTTCTATCCCAGTACTAAGGGGAATCAACAGTGGCTTGCTTTTCCGATCCAGAAAAGATCAATCAGTGCCTTCATTACATGCTCATACATGTTTGAGTCATTCTGTCAGGATGAATGGTTACTCCTACTCAGTGCTTTTTTTATATATAAAAAAAAAGGTGCCGGAACTCACACACGTTATACAACCCGCCTTGCCTACCCTACAAGGTTCCATCCCAAAAAGGTGCCAGAACTCTGTTCTGGGCATTCTGTGACAAAAAAAATACCTGCTCCTACTAATTAAAACACTAAAATACTTCTCTTCCAAGTACTGTACACAACCTATAGCTTGCTTTAGGTGCCAGTGCCTAAGACCACAGAATAAGACCACATAGTGCCTACACCAACAAAAATCACCAAAGCTTTCTCTCCCCCTTCGGAGTGGGTTTTTCGCACAATTTATACATCACATCCCTCCCCTCCTAAACGAGCCCTGATGGAGCCACGAAGGATGAGAAGAGACAGAGCATCTCTGAACTCCTTTCGCACAATTCTGTCGAGGTTACGTTCGTTCCCGCATCTTCTTTACTTCTCTCTTCTTACTTTGGCCCTCACCGACTAGCAGGAAGCGGGCACGAGGCCAGAAAGCTCGTTTTGTTGCGCGTACGTCTTAAAACACCGGGGCGGAAGAGTTTTTATTTGTGGCGGGCGAGGGAGTAAGAGGAGGGGCTTAAAAACTTGGTGAGCGGGGAGGGGCCGGAGCAGCTCGCCGGTTCACAGGGACCCTCGAGGCGCTGTAGAGCGCGCCAGGTGGGCGGAGCTGCTCCGGTACTTAGCGCTGTTGCCCTGTGCCCGCCGGCGCTGCTGCAGTCTCCGCTCCTTCTGGGAACAATGGGTGATCGAAGGCGACTTCTGGGCTGGCTGGCTCTCCTGAGCCTCCTCGGCTTAAGTAAGTTGTGGCGTTCTTTCATTCGGGCGACGGTGTGTGTGTGTGTGTTGTTTCAGCTCTGAGCGACTCCAGAATGGGAGTCTCCTCCATCCAGTCGCACGCAGGCTGGAGGGATGCTCTTCTTCTGAAAAGTTCCCCCAACTCGTGGAAGAGGCCTTTCCGAACACGCTTTTTAATTGTAACACGTTCCCCTCTCTCCTTCGAGCAGGCTGGAACAGGTGCCGTCTAGCCCGATGGAAGCTCGGCGATCCTGCATAGCTCCCCGGGAGCTATGAGCGTTGTTGAACCACCAGTGGATAGTGTACAGTGTACTTTCTGAAGGCAGTGTGCAAGATTGTGTTATACAGTAGGTCCCGCGTTGAGGTCAAAGGAAGGGAGGTTTTGATGAACCTCCAGGCTGGGTGACTCTCTTTACTTTTGCTTATTATTTGCCGCATTTCCAAAAACTGCTGTTGGAGAAACGTTCTCTGTACCGTTGTCCCATAAAAGCAACGGGATGAGTAGTCACACAGAAAGAGAACCTCTCAATTACCTGGTCCTGTATTGGATTACAGTAGGGCACTCAAGCTGTGGAAAATGAGTGAAACTTAGTGGCTGAGCTCAGGTCGATCACAGAGATCTTAAGTTTACTCCACAGGGTTGTTGTGAAGATAACTTATATATTTTATATGCTGTTTTTATGCTTTTACTATATTATTGTCCCCGGGGTGGGCAGTTCTTAAATATGATAAAATAAGTAAATAAATAAACTTGAGGTGAAGCCCTGCAAATCCCCTTAAGCATTTAGGAAGCTATATATGTAAATAAATGTAACAATTAAGACTGATATTTCTCTTTTCAGATCACTTTAGCTATAAAGTTTGATATATGGTTTCAAGTCAACGTTCATTTCTGGAGACTGTCTGGACTAGTCCCTGCAGTTTTTTGGCAAGAATTCAGAAGTGATTTGCCATTGCCATTTTTCTGGGGCTGAGACAGAGTGACTGGCTTGAGGTCATCCCACTGGCTTCGTGCCTATGGCAGGACTAGAACTCATTGTCTCCCAGTTTCTCGCTTGGTGCCACTACTCTAAATTGTGCCTGTATAAACCAGACTTAGAATACTTTATTTCAGTAATTCTTATACCCCTCTTGTAAAATAAATTAATATTATCTTCCTGATATCACCAATTTATATGAGTTATTTCACATAACATGCTTCATTTTAGCCATTTTTTTACAAATGCAATGCAGAGTTCATGTAACATAATAAATCACATTATGGCTTATTGTGTTGGATGAACTCAGACACAGTGTGATTTTGATAAGTAAGATTGTTTGAACTCAGTGGCACTAAATGTCTATGGAGATTCTTAGTCATCCAGGTCATGGTTGTTCCAAAGGTGCTTTTGCAAGAGGCAACTGGACTTTCTTGTTTTTCTTTGAAGACGTTTCGCTTCTCATCCAAGAAGCTTCTTCAGTAGCATTAGCTTTCAAGTAAATAGATAAAGGATTGTAATTTTGCTGAATTTAGTCAGAGTCATACCTAAATAGAAGACTGCAGTTCAAAACTGAGATGTTATCTGAAGACTATAATAATAATAATAAAGTTGGAAGGGACCTTGAAGGTCATCTAGTTCAACCCCCTGCTCAGGCAGGAAACCCTATACGTTTCGGACAAATGGCTGTCCAGTCTCTTCTTAAAAACTTCCAGTGTTGGAGCATTCACCGCTTCTGGAGGCAGGTTGTTCCACTGGTTAATTGTTCTAACTTCAGCGTGTGGTTGAATCATTTCCAGATTACAGGCATCATTCTGTTTAGTCTAGTTTATATTTACAGTTTATTCATTAAATTCATGCCAGAATCTATGGACTACGCTCACTAGAGCATCTTTTCTTCACCAGAGCTGGTTACATGATTTCGGAGACATTGATGGTGCCCTTTTATTAACAGGAGCCAAAAGAGATGAAGTACACTTTCTTGTTTACATTAAATGAATATGAACTGTGGATATATGAACTCTGTTGAATACTTGGATGAGTTAAGACTCCTTACAGCCATTTTTTGTCATGATATTTTCACCTTAACATTCCAGAGTGTAAAAAACCAGTCTGCTATTTCATCCGAGCTTGTTATTAAGCTGGATGGCATACAGAAATATTTACCTGTGAGAAGTTCCAACTTGTTCCTAACTAAGGGAGACATTTAAGAATGTAACAGCGCTTGAGGGACCAAACCAGGTAAAGAGACATTAACTTTTAGCAAGAATGGTGCATGCAGAACGGCCTGTATTTTGTGCTCTTTTCTGAAAGAATGAATTTTTCAGAGCATGGAACATTCTCTCTGCATTTTTATTTAATCTGTCCTTTATTCTGCTGGTGAAAGTGACTGGGGCTTAAACAAAGGCACTGGGTTCTAAAAGGCACTTGGCTAGAGTAACGGGGTTATGCCAACGTTGTTAAAACATAATGGGTGGAACTGAGTGCCTCATTGCTGAGAGCTACAGCAAAAGAAAAGCTTGTACTCGTGATTTAATGACTTAAATTACTGATTATGCTGAGTTTAAACTTTCTAAAAGTTGAATAAGGAAAAATGCTTAAAGAATGGCTTAGCCTTAATGTTAAGCTATGTTTGCTTATACCACGGATTGTGGCATATCTACAAGTAGATCATTCACACAATACTCAGCTTAATCATGTTATGGTTTGCTACACTTACTATAGTTTGGGGGATGGGGAGGTGCTACTGTTTTGGTCCATAGGACCAGTAGTACATTGTCAGTCTGTTGCTGAAGTTTAGAGGTGGGGGTGGGGTCTTGCAAAGTATTAAAGGCATCCATTTTTGCCTCTTAAACTCCAATCAGAAAAAAATCTGCCTAGTATTAAAATGGTTGGATTTCTTAAAGGATGAAAATCCTACTTTACCTCTTCGCAAGATTTAAGAAACGAATTTTGCTACTTAGACTCTCTCCTTCAAAATCTAAGCACAGTGGACTAAAAATTTATTTGCAATTATTCTGAATAGTCTCAGGGCTGCAAAAGAGATGCTGCTGTAATTTACCTTGAGGGATATAGTTTAAAGTTTTATCCATTAGTTGCAGTCCCTGCTAGGAGTTTTCTCCTGTTCCAATAGCAAAAAAAGGAGTACACAATTTATTTTCCTCCAGTTGCCCCACCTGCACCTGGTGTGAGTCAGCAATTATATCAAAACGTATGTAGGCTAACCCAGAAGAATGGGTGGGACTGCATACATTCTCTTCTCTCTGAAATGATGCCAAAGTATTAAACATATAAAAATGATGCGGGGAAAAACAAGACTATTAAATCATTTTAAGAGCAAATCTGGCTATTGAATTTTCAGTGGTGTCAAAAAAGGTGCGCTAGTTTCTGGGAAGGAGAATGCCAGAACAGAACAGAACAGAACAGAACAGAACAGAACAGAACAGAACATAAGAGTTACTTTAGATGTTCACTAATCAGCATGTATCAAAATGAGATTTCATTGCATTCAGCTCTCAAAAAAATACCATTATGCATATACTCACACATACACACATATATGACACAGAGAAACATCACAGTCTAGTTCGAATGTAGGCAAAAAAAAGGAAGAATCCTGCGAATTTACAAAACAGATGCACAAGGAACAAAGCTGTTACAGAATCTAGTAGTTCTGCTATAAATACTTTGAAACCCCCTCCCAGAGGGCAGCAACAGAAACAGACTGTGAAGTGGGTGTATGGGGTCTCTAACAATGGTTCAAGCTTTAAGCACATCGTGCTTATAAGCAGTATCCTGAATAACAGGAAGTGAGTTTGTTAAAATGCTTCAATCGTGCCTCTATAAAAAGTGGCCAGAACAGAAGGAGAAAGATGTTCTCTCCTCATTTGATGCAAAAAAAGCAAATGCTGGTTTGCACACTACACTAAAGATAACATATGAAGAGACCAAGTCAGATTGTAAGTTATCTGCATCCCCAGGTACTTAATGCTATTGACCTCCACAGCTGCAGCCTTGATACAAGGTGGAGTATGATTATGCTGCCTCTTTCTAAAATCAACAAAGATCTCCTTTGTTTCATTATCATTCAAAACCCAACTTATTTTTATTGCACCAGTCCACCAAAGCCTTCACCTCCCTGTAAGAATCTTCATTATCATCCTGGATAAGACCCACTGCAGCCTTCACAATAGGATTCGTAGCAGATTCAGCACAGAAGTCATGGATCATCAAGGTGAACAGTAACGGACTCAAAACACAGCCCTGTGGGGAACCCATACTCAGAAAGGTGGAACTGGAAAGTTTTCTTCCAACTCGCACAAACTGGGACCTATTAATAAGGAAGTCAAGTATCCAGTTATGTGAGGAATATTAAAACTTAATAGGCCCAGTTTGTTCACCAAATGCTGAGGAATGATTATATTGAACACTGAACTAAAATCAACAAACAGCATTCGCACTTGAATATTTTTCTCCTCCAGGTGCGCCAAACAAATGAAGCACACAAGTGCATAATCTATAGAGCGGTTCCTCTTATAAGCAAACTGTAAATGACTATTAATGACTTAAATTACTGATTATGTTAAATTTCAACTTTCTAAAAGTTGAATAGGAAAAGTTAGTCAAATTAGTGTCCCTAATAGCTAAATGCAGAGGCATTAACTACTTTAAATGCATGTTATTTCAAGGAGTTTCCCACTTCCTAATTCCTACTTCTTGAAGTTTAAAAGCATCAGGCATTAGAACATTTGCGTGACATATAAAACTTGCTAAAGTTTTTCATGACTCAGTTTAGTTCTTTATGTCAGGGGTCCCCAACCCTCGGTCCGTGGACCAGTACCAGGCCGTGGCATGCCAGCAACCGCTCCGCACAAACAAGCAAAGCTCCATCTGCAGGATGCAGGCAGCACACAAAACCATGCACTCTCTGGTCCATGGAAGGACCTCTGTCTACAGAACCAGTCCCTGGTACCCAAAAGGTTGAGGACCTCTGCTTTATGTCATCATAGTTAAGAATGAGTTA